TTAAGCTTTAACAATCAAATTTTTCACCTATCCAGGAATTTTGGCCGACTAAATTGTCATACAAAAGCCAACTGGTTTTGTACAGATGTTAAAATTGATTTTTACTCATTTTGAAAAACATACTCGCGAATTTAACCTGTGGATGGACGGAATACGTTATAACGTCTCTAAGGTGGTGCCTGACATATAAGGGCTAACGTCTCGTGACGTAAAAAATATTTTTTTGTACTGACTTTTCTAAGATTTCAACAAAATTTCAATCTTTGAAATGCCCAAGCGAATGAAACTTAAATGCAATTTATTTTTGATAAAATCTTCAGGACTGCTAATAAGTTTCATTTACCCGAGTTTACGAATTTCTGAGAAATATTATTTTTTAAGGAGGAAAAGGTTTTCTAATAACCTAACCTGACACGTGGCATAAAATATTTTTAAAAATCCGTAAAAATTTTATATCAGAGGTGGATCTTTCTTGAATGTTTATTAAAATTGGCTGTTTCTCTTATGAGAGCTTTATACTAATTATCTAATATTTGGAAATACGCGCGTAAAAATGAATGAACATAGTAAAATGAGGAACAATCAAATTCGTAATATTATTTAAAGCGACAAAGATAGCAAAAATACAAAAATCGAAAAGGTACCAACTGAACTTTAATTTTTCATAATTCCGTGTCACAGGCCTAATTTATCGTTCTTCGAAGCTCTGTTGTTTCGTTGGACAACCTGTCTTGTAACTCTTATGTTACAGTTTCTAGTTTTACAACTTTTCAAAGAAACTGTACCATTCTTTGGTGTTTCTTTGATTTTGATTAGTCGCTGAGAGACAAATGTCCAACAACGAAGCAGGCTTGCCAATTTTCTTATTCCCGTTGTTTAATAAGTTATTTGCAAAGCACAAGAGAGATTTGTATTTTAAAACGTGAATAACGTACCGCGCTGTATAGTTAAATATTATACATGTATGTCTATACTATATCGATTAGTAAATACTTTTCATTTATAATTTTTCACTTATAAAAAAAATAAAACGAAAATACTAAAATCTAAATGTAATTAAATTTATGCATAAAACATGAATTATTGCCAACTTTAAGGCAACAGCTTCTTCTTGGCTATTTTCTGGTTAAATTTACATAATTTTAGTACACTCTTTCTTTATATTATTAATTTTATGATTGTGTTCCATAATATTTTATTTGTTTGTTTTTCAACAAAAAAATTACAAATGGCAGCTTGATAAATCATACAGACGATCGAACGAAACACGTGTCAAACAAACATTAATGTCATTCGAAATGTATATGTAGCTGAGTTCGCGATCGATTACAAATCAGTATTAATATTAAACATTCTAATGGTATTCCTATAAGCTTTGAAACGAAGCAGAGGACGTCGAATCCGAACGGAACAGATAATTCCTTGACTTTTCGATTGTTCCTCATAAAACTAAACAGCAATTTAAAGAATTGTTAGATTCGTGGAAAAAAATGTCAGTCAAGCCTTTGCATGAATTTCGAATATTTCGTGATTTTCACGCGACCTGACTCTAGCCACTTCTCAGGAGCCCCTTATGTCATTAATACGATTGAATTAAATTTACCGACATTTAATTTTGAAACATTTGAAATTTCATTTTTTTTTTAATATCCACGTTCGTATTACGTGAAGCAATAAAAGTGCAAATACTGCTCTTCAATCTTATTCAAGAAATAAATTACTCTTCTCTAAGTACAGCTCAGCGTTTCGTTTGAATATGTAAAATTCATTAATTTAGCTGAACGGGGCTTCTGCAAGTCCCGAAGATAATTTATGACTCACAATTTAAATGTAGCATTTTTTTTTAACTAAAAAAATCAATCATCCAACGCGATTCTCGTCGTGGGTAATAAAAATTGGTATCACTGAAACGAATAAAGCTTTTGCCAGCTTGTATCATAGGTATCGGCGCACAGTAATAACATGAATGGTACGTCGATTCGAAATAGCGAGAAAACGGCAGCGTCTACTGAAATAACATTGTGAAATTCATAGAGTCCAAAGAGGAACTTCAGCTCGCGATGCTATTCAATGAACTTTCCATCTACTCCACTTCCAGTCCCCCTTTATCACCGTGCATGTACGACCATGCACAAAGGCCGCCTACGCATATCGATACCTACAGGTAGTCACGTGATTCAAAATCGACCTATGTAATACGCCTATATGTGAAACTGCCACTAATTACTGATAAGTGTTTCTTTAATTAATATCAAGGCAATTAGCATTGCTCTATATACCAGTACGAAATTAGTTTCCAATTCGCGTGACCCTTTCGTCCTGTAGGATACAAGATAATGAAATAAATATCTTACGACTGGTAGACTCATGATTATATAATAATGATTTTCTAAGTTTAATTTTTTTAAATTTTTAATACATTTTGGGTATATAGAAAATTTGCGAAAAATTTGTTTTACCTCAATTACGCGATAGGCGAGTAAAAATTGTAATTAAATAATTTTATGCATCGACGGTTGATGATAATTTTTTTTTTTTTTCAAGGATGATTTTTATCAATGATTTTGCTACTTAGGTAGGAATGTGGGTTCCGGACAGAGAATATAGATGTAGGGTACATACACACAGTGTATACCGTGTACACAGAGCTCAACGGATCCCGGACCAACAGCCGGTGGCTTGGGCTACGCCGATGTTGAGGTCGACGCCTGCGCAGCCCCTGGACGGGTGCGCAATCAACCCTCGATTCATTCTCGACTACTCCGTGCCATCCCTACCGTCCGGGAGCGTTCCCGGGAATGTTTCGCCTGGCCTCGGACTAGATTCAAGTACGGCGTTAGACTTGGCGGCCGCGCAGCCAGGAGACACACAGAGCCAGCACAGTGTGCATTGATGAGTTGTATTCAAAGAAAGGAGATAACGGAGAATAATATAAAAAGAAAAAAAAAGACCAAGGATAGAATTGAAATGACATATAGAAAGAGATACAAGGTTGTCGTTCAGCATATTTAGGCTTAAGAAAAATTGACAAATCCCAGCGAGCCAAGATCCGTTTGGAGTTTTCGAATTTATCGACATTTTCTCAGGCATCGTATCTATACGCGAAATCTCGGAGGGTTCGTATCTTCTCGGAAACGATTCAAACGTCACTCTCCGGGGATCGGAGACAGATCGCGCAGCTTCCTTCTCAAGTATAAACGTCAGTGAGGCGAAGGGAGGCGAGAATGGCGAGAGGAGGCTTAATGGCAAAGAAGACACACGAGATAAAGGTGGTGGAAGAGGGAAGTCGCGTCGGTAAAGAAGAGTGCGAGATAGAGAATGGGGAGGATGAAGGGAAGGAGACAGAGAGAGAAGTAAAGATGGTTGCAGTCGTGGGGTCGATGACCGGGAGCAGTTACTCGTTGTGCCTCTGGCGTGGTGGTTCTCAACGCAGACTAACGTTCCCTAGGCAGTACACGCCCACGTAGCACTGACGCAGACGCAGGCGCGGACGAAGTACCCGTGCATAGGAACGCTCCTGACTTACCGGGGCAGTTGACGATTTCACCGATTGGGGTAGATTCGAGGATATCCACTTATATGTTCATTAAAATAGACATATCTCTTTTAACGACCTTTGCACTTACCTTTGTACCGGTGGATTTGCGAGGAGCTTGTTAGGCGGAATTAAATTATCAATCTTGTCGATTGATCTCGATGCGTCGTCAACGAGGCTTTACAATCGAATAGGCTCGTTGCGAGGTCGAGTTTACGACGTTAACGAATTACGTGCCTTTAACGGATGATGAACTTTACTGGGTTACATCGACAGTACCGTCTGCAGCTTTTGATGTCGGGAATAGATGTCAATCGAACTCTCTGGTGTCATTTGATATTTTGGACTTCGGTGAATTTCCACGGTTGTTCCGCGTATCGGGACATTTAATTAATTGCCACGTTCGGCACGGATCGAAGTTACGGTTATATTTTAGAAATCAAGTAACGGGCATGCTAATATATGTAAATCAAATGGATCTAATTTAATTGAACATATAGAAAATATTCTTGAGTCTCTCTCAGGTGAAAAAAAAAATGGCATGACTTTCAGCTATGGATTGTGTTTTGTCATTAATAAAATTGTCGTTGGGTAAATTGTGAGAATGGGGCAAACTTTCGAAATATTGTTCGATACGTAACGAGAGACGATGCAGAAACAGAGCAGTATCAGAATAGCTTGTCAAGATTCTCCCGGACGTGCTCAGGGTATAGTCTGGATATGTAGGCAGGCAAGCAGGTAGAAAGAATGTGCGGGTCGTGGCACGTTGCCGGAATAGGAAGGTTGGGTCTGTACCGCGTGATCCGTGGGTGCGTGAGCGCGTACGCTTAACCGCCCCCACTGTCGGGGGGGTTGTTATTGATCCCTTGTAAGGTTCCGCGGCAACATTGGAGCCGGCAGTAGTCGCGCGCTGCCTCCACTTCCCCGTACCTCGGTTGCCTGCTTTTCAGCCTCACCAGTCTGCCTACCTGCCGACCTGCCTTCCTGCCTGCCTGCCTACTTACCGCTGCCTACCTACCGACCTATCTACCCACTTATCTGTCTGACTTGCCTGCCTGACCACCTAGCTGCCTGATTGTTTCCCTGCTAACCCACTATTCCAACCTCCTAATTGCCCACCCACCAACCTACTTGCCTACCTGTCTCGTAGACTAGTTGTGCTGCCTTGGCTGGCTGGCTGGCTGGCTGGCTGATTCGATGGTCTGCCTATCCGTCCCGTTCGCCCGTCCGCCCGTCCGCCCGTCCGCCCGTCCGTCCGTTCGTCGGCCAGGCAGTGCGCGACGCGCGCGCTCCTCGCTCCGTAGCGAGTGCTTGCAGCAGCTCGTGAACGAGTTCCCCAGTACCGAGTGTCGAGTGTCAAGTGTTGACTGCGGGAGAGCCGAGTGCCGAGCGTAGCGAATGAGACGAGTGTGACGACTGTGGCGAGTGTCGAGTATCGAGTGCCGAGTGCCGTGGTCGGTCAGTGCGTGAAGCGCGACCGGCCGGCGTGCACGTCGCTGGTCAGAGCGCACTCTTACGTACCGTCAATATCTTTCCGCGCCGGCCTGGCTTCGGGCCTTCTCGTGCGTCACGGTACCGGGCCTGAGGGCCCGGGCCCAACCTGATTCTTTCTGCGACGAAAAAGCTTTCGATGATCATAAATCACGAGTGTCATCTTCAATAGTTCTCGAGGGTGCGCCCTAACACCTCCACGCTGCTCGTCCCCGGGCCTAACTTACAGTGGTTACACAAGTGCGAACGAGTGAAGCCTACGCAATTTTTTTGAACCTCTTTTTTAGTATACCTATGCCCTTTGGTCTTCTCGGTACCTTATTTTCTCTACGACTCCTCGATATCTTATCGTTCCACGTTCGCAAACTAGCAACACGCTGTGCTCCGTGTCGTCTGGGATACTCCGTGCCACGGAGACTTTGAGATTCAAAAGGAGGATCTGTTGACAAGCTGTACGAAAGTTATCTGAAAAGGCTCGAGATTATGTCCAGGACGAGAACGACGTGGAGGACAAAGACGTATACTACGACGAGAGAGTATAATTGGTGCGATTTGTAGGTTACTTTACGTGTCTCTACGTGTGCGTGAGTGTCCGACAGTCGTCGTGACACCCTTTACAGTGTCTCCTCTTCCGAACTGCCCATTCACGCCGTTTACGTCCTCCGCGAGACATGTCACAACTTGCTTTATGCTCGACTCCGTCTCACGTGCAGCTTGCACGTACTCTAGTTTTTCCAGACGAATGTGCTCGTGTTTGCAAGTTTGAATCTGACCTTCGGAACGATATCGTCGCCGAACGTGTTTGATGGGCAGAACTTGAGAGAGCTGGGGAAATAGAAGAGAGGAGTCACGCAGGAGATATAGAGGTGGTGTGCGTGAGTGCATGGCAGGGATCGTGCTTGAGTGCGTGAATTCGTTGATCCGTAAGTGCGTGAGTGCAGTTGTAGACGTACGTACATGAGATAGAGTGGGAGAGAGTGTTCCTATGAAAGACAGAAAACTGGCGTCTCAGGCACATGACTTGGCGACGGGGTCCCGCGGGACGCGGACCCGTCGAAGAGCCAATGCCGGTTCTCTTTCGAGCAATGGAAGTGCTACGGGAATGCAATGCGGTCTTTGTGTCGTCGTTGCTGGTCTCTTTCGCAGAGCAATGTGTATCGCAGGTAGCAGACGAGGCTCCGGCGAGTCTTGTTATCAGGAATTGCCGCCCGAGGGACACGATCGTCAACTGCTGCCAACGACTACTACCACTACCACCCATTTTAAATCCGAACCTTTTCAAACGAACGACGCTCTCGAGGTGAGGCTCTAGTCCCATCGTTTCCTAGAATCCACTAAGCTCTCGCTCGACTCGCAGACCGTTGACTCCCGTATATTTCTTTTAAGCTTGACGATGAATATTATTTACTTCGTCTCGAGCACTGTCGTTCGTTTAGCTTTAGCTTTTCCGAGGCCGTTATTTAGCCATATTATTTCGTATTCTGAAAATGCGACGTACTTCTTTTCTACAACGAATATTATCGTTTCTTGATTTCAATCATTTTTATCTCTTGCAGTCTACATTCACGTATACACATACGTCGGTTAGGTCTACTTCGGTTTATCTCGTTGAAATCCACATTGGTAACATATGTATATAAGAATTCTCGACGAGACGGAACGAGAATTGAAAAATGACTATGGTCACGAGATTATGACGTGGGGTAAAACGTGTTCAGGTAAAGATTGAAGTCGAAGGTTAGGAATGTAAATTAAGATATTTTTAATTCTCTTATCGGAATTTGGAAAAGTACTATCCACGGCTCATTATCAATCTTGCCTACCCTAAACTTTCCTATAAAGGGAATATACTGTTCCGTTATCCAAGCGAAAGACAATCAACGACCTCCTTATCAAAACGCATTACCAAAGGCATAAAAACGATATAGACTTCAATAGTAATCGAGCAATTCGATTATCGACATTCATTGGTACCAGATACCTTATTTTATATCATCTTATAATACGAGATCTTATTTTTTTTTATTTTCCTTTCGTCATTGTCTAATGACAAAGCGCCTACTATCGTGAAAAAAACCAATTTGGTCTCACACTCCAATTGCAATCTAAACGACAACTTCCCTATTATCTTGAAACGACAGTTGCTCTCCCTACTGGTCGATACCAAAGCTTTTCTCAAGTACATTTATGCTCGTTGCTCGTTTTCAATTGGTCGTTTTGCATTTTATGTTTTTTCAGATTTGATGACAAGAAAATAATTGATAAACTTCCATACGAAGTTCCGTATATATATATATATATATGTGTAATACGTTTCACAAGTTTACTAGAGTCTCGTTATCTTTACGGAAACTTCAAGTGCATAGAGTGAATTTTCGTAAAGTCAATTTCCGTGAAATAATACCAACGCCTATGGCTTTTGTGATAGGGTACCGACAAAAAGTTTACGAAAGTTACGACACCTAGCTGCGTTATCAGTCGTACAAATCCGAGGTTGCGTACTTTAACAATAGTAGTATTTCATGTGTGTGTAATACGTTTCACAAGTTTACTTTATGTTTTTTCAGATTTGATGACAAGAAAATAATTGATAAACTTCCATACGAAGTTCCGTATATATATATATATATATATATGTGTGTGTAATACGTTTCACAAGTTTACTAGAGTCTCGTTATCTTTACGGAAACTTCAAGTGCATAGAGTGAATTTTCGTAAAGTCAATTTCCGTGAAATAATACCAACGCCTATGGCTTTTGTGATAGGGTACCGACAAAAAGTTTACGAAAGTTACGACACCTAGCTGCGTTATCAGTCGTACAAATCCGAGGTTGCGTACTTTAACAATAGTAGTATTTCATTCAGACTCGCTGTACTTAATCCACGTGTATACAGCGAAACTCGTAGCTTCGGAATCCATGTATTTCAATGCACGAAAAGACGCCGGGAGAAAATTCTTTAAAGCGAGATACTCGCGAGTCTCGCGATTAGCATTATTTTCATGCAACTTTTCAGCGTCTCGATATTCCATGCGTTCAAGGTTTACGTTCGAAATTACGTACTCTGAGATTCTGACGTACAACCGGCGGGACGCTTATAGCTCCTTCGAATGACCATAAAAACCATGATGGCTGACTGGCTGCGAATTCAGAGGACACGTAAATCGGACCGATTTCTTTGCGCGGGCAATTTAAAAACATTCGACGTACACAGACGCGATGGTATTTACATATTTTGCTTTTAACTCTTCTTGTACTCGTTTTTTGGAATCCTTGGCCGGCCTAACGTAACCTCTTGTAATACAGCCAGATGTTATTTATACACGTAAAAAATCTTTAATGGAGTTAATATTTTTTATGCTCCCTGCCACGCGATTAAAATATTTACGCTTATGATTTTTTTTTGTATTGTTTTGTCTTATGGGACAAACATTTTTATCGGTTAATTAACATGAGATCGTTTATTGCATCGCGCGGGGAAATAATCAAATTCACAGAGGTGGCTGTACCCTTGTACAATTTTTAGAATATTTGTTCAGTCGCGAACTTTAATAACCATTACATGCATATACGTATGGAATTCTAAGTCCTATTAATAAGCAGACCTCCCTTTTACCGTGCCACTTCAATTTACGTAATGGAGAACTTCTGTTGCTGTTATACCAGCGAACACATAAGTGTGGATTAGTAACACAGCTGATCCAATACTCGCCCGGCTCTCAGGTGTTTGTACAGTTCAACCATACCCATTTTCTGTGACATTTAATCTCAAACATCGAGATCGTCTGTTATTTTTCGAAGCGCAATGAATTTTACCTTAATTAATGCACAATCTCTTTTTCTAATTAAATGAAAAAAAAATTCATAATTTCGATAATCAATAGTATCACTGTGTTTAACGAGTGCGACAGATATCTGAATTAAAAAAAAAAAAAAAAAGAAATAATAAAATACGCTTTGTTTTGACTACCGCAGACATTTTCTCTAGACGCTAATTGTAAGCATGCGCAAAACTCTGCAGCTGCCACAACACGTCAAATACTCGTGACGATTAGGCGAAAATTTTACTCTCTTACGAATACGTCATTACCTCGCCAGACTTTCCGTTTACCGGACAGACGAGACCTGTACTTGCGTATACAGATATCACCGCAAGGTTGATCTTAAACGAATAATAGTAAGATCCCACATGAATTTTTTTTTATCTTTTACAAGTAAATAAAATGCATTTTGTTATTCGTCCGAAATCTCTGTCTTCGAATTACATTACCGCTCCCGCTTTAATCCCCATACTACGAGATTCAAAGGAAGCTGTTCAAAGACCTCTCTCTTTCTACCTGGCTAGAGTGAAAGGATTCAAACATTTAGTAAAGATCGCGCGATGTTTTTAGTAGCAATTTGTACGAGCTTTACCGACCGAGAGCGTATTGGACATCGTATAGGATTCGCCATAATACATTAACAGACTGTACGTATCGTATGGGTTAATTGAGTGTGGTATATATTTGCTGCATTTCGCAAAATTCCCTCGGGTTGACAGATTTATTAGCTTATCCTCGAACATCGTGATTTTCAAACATTTAGTTTTATCGAGGAGAAGGAAGCTGTATGGACCGATGGTAGTAGGAAAAATAAATGAATAAGTTTCAACAAAAATAAGCTGTGCGGAATTGAAATTCCGTGCTGGTATTGCGGGGGGGGGAGGGGGGAGAGGGGAGGTGGTTGGGTGATATACGCATAAATTATTCAACAAGACGACAACTCCACGGTTCGTCGTATGTAAATAAAGTGTAGTGGACATAAAAAAAGAAAAATTTACCTTCGTTTCGAAAAGAAACGACGTAGGAGAACAGTGAGTAACGATAGACTGTTTTAGGTATTAGAAAAAAGATAGCTATATAGATATACTTCTTCGATGCTCGTACATAACCTCAATCCTATCTATGCGGATGTTACTAATGGGCTTCTGATAAGAAGGGAATAGTGACTCGCGGCCTTTTCAAATGACACGTGTCGATGAATGATATTTATGTGGTTGAAAGGAAACCGTTTATTCAGGTTGTCTATTGGAAAGTACGTAGATGCAGTTGTTCGATTTAAGACATGAGTGGATGCACATGACGATCAGCTGATCAGATGTAAACAAAGCCCGAATGGCGCGAATTGACTATTGTAAAATCAATTGATTGGCAAATAATGGGTCAAAATGATCGTATGTGTATTTAATTGTTTGCGTGTGTATGCGTGTATGTTCATATACTGTGCAAAAAAAATATAATTACCTTTTGATACAGTGACATTTTTTGTTCTTACTTCGCATTTCGTCTATAACTGTTGTGGGTGTACCTTAATGTTGAAACTGAATTTGAACTCGATATTTTAATATCGGAATAAGACTCGGAGGATTTTTTAAAAATATTTTTTAATAAAAAAAATTGTTACCTCAATAACTCGAACTTCTGTCGAGTTATAAACATATCTAAAAATATGAATTCTCAAATTTTCTAACGTTTTGCCTCTACGGGTTTAATACTCCGATAGGTCAAAGCTGTGATAACTCGAAGCGTGTTTCGTTTCCCTCGAGATTCGAATTATCCAAGTTTTACTTTATTTTAATATAACGAAACGCTTCAACGTTTTGGGTGAAATTTACGAGGAGAATCAAGTTCAGGATGTAGGTGCGATATTAGAACTTTGCGGATATCCACTGTTTCTGATTTGGAGGTAGCGTGCGGTCGCTTGATCATTTTTTTTGTTCGCAAATTTCACGAATTTTTCGTCGTATTTTGGGAATTTGAGGCGCGTACTCAAATTCAATGGGGTTGAAATTTTTAACCAATAGGAAATTGTATCTGCAACTGTGGGGTAAAGTTTGCTAATTCTTCGGGTCGGATACGGTATTTAATTAATTTTTTTTTAAATCAGTAAGTACCTTTGATTACACTTAGCATGCATAATATATGATACTTTATGAAGTACAATAATAAAGCATTTATTACGGGGCATATACATATAGCGGAAATATGAAAGTTTTTTTTACTGTATAAATTAATGTATGCTAATGTATCTCTGTGTTATTTTATTTCTTATGAAATCCCCTTCATTCGTTCTGGTTCTCTTTCATTCATTAACTTTTACATGCAATCGCTGATAAGGTGTTTATAAAAGTCGAGCAAGATTTGAATGAGGTCGTCGCAGGATATTAGTAAATTTTATTATTTTTTTTACAAAAAAAAAAGGTTAGTAAAATTTTATGAATATTTTTTATTGCGAAAATAACAGTAGCTTATATTACATTAGATCTCTACGTGTTGACGTTTTCTTACGTCTTCTTCGCATAAACGTTATTCAGACCCTAAATCCAATTGGCAATTATCGTACCAGTCGATCGCGATCAAAAACGATGCGATTTTTATTCATGATAAGTCAATGAATTTTCTTTAAGGATTATTCATCCACGCATGATGCCTCTCTTTGGTATAAGTCTCGAGCCGATATGTACGGATTCTGTAAAAGATTGAAAGAAAAAAAAACCATTAATTGCCTCCACGTGAAAAGATCTTCCAAATGAAATTTAAACCAGATTTTTTTTTTACTCACATGCAAATTTTCGATATACGAGAATCGTCTAGGCTCGTGCCGAAAGTAAAATCGCAGATACCAATTCGCAGTGTGGTTTACTTCGTTAATCGTAAAGTCCACTTTGATTGGTCGTTTCGCGGAGCTGCGGTTAGTTCTGCGGTTCGCCGGCCGATCTTTGTGGCGCTTCCGGTTTCGTCAGCCACGAATAACAAGTTAATCTTAGCGCTTGGCAGTTTATAAAAGTGCGTTCTCAAAGCTACGAAGTTCCACGGGTAATCGCTTTTGCGTAAATTCACCACCACCCGTCGTCCATCTCTCTTATGTCTTTGAAACCATTATGACCTTTATTCTCTCTCTTGCTCGTCCTCATTTTCTAAATTACACTTCAACATTCCTCAGAACTCTTTCACTGTCACCAGGCAAAGCTTTCCAATGCCTACTTTTACTATGTCTTCACGTACGGCTTACTCGGCTCACGCTCGAGTAAATTTTAAAACGCGTAATTAATTTGCCAAGAATTTCAAGACTTTTTTCGCACGATCGTACACAAACAAAAGTCAAAACGAACGTTTGAATTTTCTAATCCGCGAACGCGTTAAGCGCCGGTACGAGATTATTGAACTTTTTGTTTTCGCCGCTGTCAAACAGTGGCGCGTCGGTCATCGATCAAATCGTACAAATCAACGTCGACCGACGCGAAGGCCTAAACGACAATCTCCACAGCGGATGCTCATATAAAACACTGTACAGGGGAGACGTGTCTACCCTATGGTATTTTTCGTAATTTCCCTCGATCTTTCACTGAAAAGTCCCACGGCCATCGTGAAACGGCCCCAAGTTGACAGTGATTCGCCAACGATCGTATTAGAATAAAATTAATATATTTTTCCCTGCATAAACACGCGTCTGCCACGTACAATTTTTCGTTAATATTTCCGATAAAAATATCCCAGCCATCCACGTTGTCCGTCCTTGATCTCCTCGTTCTTCTTATACGATCGACTTTGCCCGCAATCGTCCTCTCTCTCTCCATCCAGTACTTGGTTCATTTGCTTCGTCTGCTTTTCTCTCGCAAGCTCTATCTCGAAACTCTTTGTTTCCGGCATCTCGAGAACCACTAGAGCCGCGAGAGTGCCTCGGCATTCTCCTCCCTTGAATTCTCGAGGATTGGGGGGACGAGCGTCTAAAGAGGACGGGAGAGCTTATATAAAGAACCACCCCCTTAATAATCCTATACAACCCCCAATACACCCCTGTCTGTGTTTTAGCACACGACTTAGTAGTCTTAAGGCTACTGTAGCGAATTCACTATTTTTCTTTTTCACTCAACTTCCTTCCTCTACTTCCTCTTACTTAATACACTGGAAACGCGTGAGACGACCTAGGTGGATAAACATAGGAAAAAAAAATTTCGATACCGTGCCAATTTGAATTTTCCGAAATTTCGCAAAGTATCTCCTGCTGCATTACACGAAGTCTTCCCTTACTCTGCCCCTCGCAACTTTCGACGGAGGCCGAATCTTAATCCGTGTCGGCCCATTTTACAATTGGCAATTGGCAATTGGCAATTGGCCTAGGCACTTGTCTTGGCAGCTACTGCTCATCCCGATGCCTATCGGCATCAGCGACCCTGGCCAAATTCTTGCGCAATCGGTCCTCGATTACTTGGGATAATTAGAATTTCTTTTTTTTTTTTTTTTTTTTTTTTAATTAATTTTATTTATCAAACGACTTTGACAACCGAACGTATATTGTGCTTAGTTATATGTGAGAGGGATAATTAAAAAGTTATTATTTTTTATATACATTATTGTATAAGCTTATATATTATATAAGCATGTATGATCGAAGCTGTCGACTGTTGCAATAAATTATAGGGTACGGTTAGATTTTCTACCTGACATTATGCAGTTTATTAATACACACATCGATTAAGCAGCCTTGGGTACGTAAAAGACCGAAACGTAAATGCAGTCGGCCATGGAATTAATAGATCCGCCAACAATTATCCGGCTCGAATGAAAAATTCCTGACTAGAGTAAATAAATTGGATTTCGAACGGTATCCCATAGGCATCATGATTCCTCACGTGACAATTTAAATTTACAAGAAGAACCATTTTCGAAATTCACCCAGATGGCAATTGACGATTTCTCTATGGGTCAAAAATGTATCTGATTTAAAAAAAAAAATATCACAAATTCATACTTACCTATACTCCGACCTTGATTTACATCTTTATCCTCATCCTCGTCCTCACCTTCCTCTAAGTTGACCAAGAATTCACGTTTTATATTTCCACTATGGAATTTATATGGCCGCCGCTCCTATCTTATACGCTTAGCATCAATTTACCACGAGACAAGAAGTTATTCATCCTCTACTTGAATCTGAATTACGAATACTACGGGAATGACAAATATTCGTCACACTTCACGTTTTCTACCTCATTATCGTCAAAGTTTATTTTACATTGTATCACTCGTATATCCGTATAGCGAAACATTTATTTACCAGCACCTTACATTGATTAATGTAAGACACATTAATATTCATCGTATACGTCGTCACTTTTCGTCTTTTTGGTGTCGTATTTGGTACGCGATAAAAAAAAAAAAGAATTCGTTATCTCACCGCAAAACAGCTAATGCGCAATCTCACAATGTTATTTCGTTCATTTGTTACAGAAACGTGCGGCTGCTATCACCGTTGATAGCGCGGAACAAAATGCTGTGTTTGTACGGATATCCGGTAAGTATTGAGATAAAAGTCCATTGCTTCCCTGCTATTTGACTGGTTTTTAATTTTTTTTTTTTTTTTTTTTTTTTTTTTTTAATATATAATTTCATCAGGTATAGATTACATAGAATTATCATCAGTCACGTTACATCCTGAGAAAACAAATTAATTACGTCAGATCTCGTTACGCTCGACGTATACCTACTTGTCAATTGAGAGTGTTACCTACGTACGTATGCGATGTTTGCTTGAATTATGGCCATGACCCAGATTGACATACCGGCTCCATTGTATGCTTATAGCTTATGCTTTATATGCTTAACGTGCAGTCGCGAACTATCTATGGGGCGAAATTCAGGTACTCCGACGGAATAAAGTAAGTCGAAAGTTTCGCATGCATAATTTTGACATTCCGTGTGCGAAAAATAGCATTTCACTTTTTCTGCGAATTTTCGTATTATTATTTTACGCCTTTTTTGCCTGAAGTCGTACTTATTAGGGCTAATGTAGATTGGAGCAAATTCGCGAATGGTCTACCCGAAAGCTGTGATAAATGCTTTGTATTAACTTGAATAGATGGGAGAAAGGTCGGACAATTGAAAGGAAATGTACTTTTGAATAATATATAGGTATATTCCTAGATGTCTGTGTCCTATCAAACATTTGTGGTTATTCTTCGAATGGCGCTGGGTAGCACCGTTAGACTCAACTTCTAAAAATATATATTAGTGTATAGCAACATCACAGTGAATTTTTCAGCACGTACCAGTCGTCAATTATTTATATCTCGCAAACACTGTCGCTATATTTTCACATGCAATAATTCAAAAATTAATGCGAAACCCGACACCTACTTTTTTCATGCGAACGGAAATAGCTTCTGTCGGTTTCTTTTTTTCTCTCTTTTCGATCGTGCGAATATCATGATAATATTTTTATCAGAGTTATAAATAACTGAGATTTTTCAGATTATGATTTTACACGACTTGTATACACACGTACCACGTATATACGTATATATATGATTTTCGTCGATACAATTCAAACAAGATTATCGTCGATTTCAAAACACGATTTAACAATACAGATCCATATATATATACATATATATAAAGTAAATAAATTTATATTTTCACACAAGCAAAGCCTATTCATACAAATCTCAGCACATCGCGTTGTGATATTTATGTTGTATAAAAAAAAAAAGACCAAAGTTTTTCGTTGTCTCGCAAAAACTCTAAATGAACATTAAACGTCAGGCAGTATAAAAAAAGAAGCCTATCTAGAACAATAAAATGAAGTCTCTGGCCATCAGTTTTTACAAAATAGTTTATTGCTAGTTTCTCAATATATTTGTATATTGTATATCGTACAATAGACGCCCACGCATTTATCATTTTGAACAATTGAATATATTCGAATCGGTACAGTCCAGCTACCGTGTACGTTAATACAGGCCGCGTTTCACATTCTTCGCACACCTCGTCACCCGATAGATAACGACTGCCAGATGCATTATACGTACATAGATAAATTCTCTTAATAATTTAGCCACTTGCGCGAAAGTCATTAGGCTATAGAAATGCGAGATGGATTTGCGATTTAAGAAAAAAAAAAAAAATAGTTTCTCTTACGTAAGGTACCGATAAATTATTCAGCTCTGTTGATCCTTGACCTCAAATCAGTTTGCACTCTCGATCGCCTTTGCACTCTTTAACGTATGTGCAATTAGTCATTCGACGATAGAAAACTGATAATTGGTAAGTGCGCTCAACTTTTTAGTACCGTATGGGATATGCTAATTGTGTTTCTTTTGCTTTGATGATATCGTGTTGTCATTTCTTTGCTACCGAAGTAATAATATACAGATATGTAAATGCGTATTGATAATGATGCATATACCGCGTAGAGGCTCTGTACTATTTATGAGAGAAGTAATATTTAATATTACAGTGTTAAAGAGTGAAATTCGTTAGGACGACGAGGACTTTTTTTTCTGTGTTAAATTTACAGACCTATGTATATATATTGTTTTTTGTTTTTGACACGTCGATAGTGTTGCGAGTTAAAAGATCGTGAGTTCTAGTCGCTTAGTAAATGATAGAAAAAAATATTCTGTGCTGTCGTTTGATGAACTGCGATAACAGATGATAAAAGGTCGTAGGTTTGGGTTAATGGAGGGAATTTTGAATTATGAAGTAGAGCAAATCGAAAGTGGGAAATTATGAGGATGTCGGGAAGGGGTTGAAGGGAATTGATGAAATTTATTATACAGTGGGTTCATGAGTGAAGGAGCATTTGGAGGGGCCATCTTTATATGACTTTTTGTGGTATAAGAGTCCCCTAGGACTCGTCCTTTTTTTACTCGTCAAGGGACTGGCAAAACATGGGAGGGCCACTTTTTTTATTCAGGGGACTCTTGAACGTTATTAATCGTATGGAGATGACCCCTCGACCTTCAATTGATCTTATAACTTGAGAACAGTTAATGCTGTTACTTGATTGTGGCAGTTGACAGCAATTGAAGTTTTTTTTTTCTTTTTTTTTTTAAATGAAATCTTATTTGATAATTGGCTAATCAATAGTCTTCGCTATTCCTGTGGGATGGTTTGTATTTGGGACAGATGCTCTTCTATAGGTTCTGTTTAGAATTTTTGTTGTCATAACGTCAACTGGGTCAACAAGCACTTGACAATAGGCCTAATATACTGTCAAAATCTGATTATTCTTACTGTTCTACATTAAGATAAATTCGGTAAAGATTGGGCAGCTTTCGTAATTTGCTCCTGACGTCACGTCGCGTACGAAGCGCGTAAGACCTCGTCCCACGTCACATTAAGTTATATCATTTTAATCCATGTGGATTTGAAGGGTTGGCAAAAATCCAAAATCTTTCGAAGGACAAACTCGGACGACTGTAACATCAAAAATTGTCCCAACGTATCAGTGTCCTTCATCCGAAAATATAAGAGAAATATGAAAAATGAGAAAAAAGAAGTAAAAATTGATTAAATATTTTCGAATTGACTGATTTCAAAAATTAAAGCTGTCATGGCGCCCTTACGCGTTATCTACGCTTGATAGTATTTCAAATTAAAGACAAAAAGAAAAACTCGAAAAAGATCAGATAAATTTGCCAAAGGGTAACGCGGTAAATTATAATTGTAAAAGTTATAAAAATATCTCACTACCCCGTACAAGAAAAGTTATCTAAATATAGAAAAAAAAAATTAATCAATAGCTCAGGAGTAACAATTACTGAGAATGAGTATCGTAAGTGCGCATTGTTATCGTTATTAGAGAAGCAAATGATGCAAAAGCGAGGACGGCGCGACGCTCGGAACGGCCGTCGGTCTATAAATACTCGTAGAATCCGTTGTTCGTTCAAATCGAAATAGAACTTTCATGCTAAAATTATACGAGCGCCATGTATTTCTGTGAATGAAAGCCGACGGGCTATAAATGTAAGTGGGTGGTGGCAGGTCGATAGATGGGTAATTGGGATCGGTAGGATATACATAGGTGGAGAGTTAGGCATTTACCACGTGTCTTTAGTCTGCGGCAACGGCCTTTTAGGACGCAACTGGGCGCATTCGTTACGTACAAACCATAACTTATGTATACCTAACCTACCAATTGGTTGACAAGAAAACAATGAAACGTAGTATTTTCTCTGACAACGTCATAGCTCTCATATGTACGTCCCTTGACTTATCGTGCGATTTTGTGTAATTATGATTTTTTTTTTTTTTTTTTTTTTTTTTTTTA